CTTCCAACCTGTTACCTATTATGCCTCACACTTTATATACCCGGGAATACAACAAGAAGAAACTTGTGAATGTTCTATAAAACCTGCTACTGACATCAGGGTGGGTCTTTGAGGCTTATGGTTATCCTAATAAAATGAAGGAATGTGTAACAGACTGTAGCCAGCAGACCACCAACTACTTTATTGTTTAAACACAAAAGCAAAACTTTGGTAAACCTACTGTACCTGAGTCACAGCGTGTGGCTGTTTCTTAACCCTTGAAGACTCTGTTATGTACCCAACTTCAGATGACATATGTATGTTTCTTGTTTCCCTCCATGTGATGAGTTTACTCAGTTACATGCTTAGACAAGAAATTCCTATTGATGGAGTGGTTATGAATTACAGACTGGAGCTTACAAATCAATTTGGAATTTTAAGAAAATAAAACTCAAACCAGATCTGAGAGGCCAGCTTCTCCACAGCCAGCATAAGTGTGAGGCAAAAGAAGAGCCCGAGCAGACAGGCAGTCAGGTAGCCCTAGGATAGGTGGGAAGGAGGTCTTCTGTGACCTCAGAACCCTCTTTCCTAATCTCTTCCTTTCTCTACCACTACCCTCATGCTCAGGAACTCAGTATCCTACTCTTACGATGCAAATGCAGGGAAGGATCTATATCAGCAGAGGAATGGCAGAAAACTCTCAAAAGAGTTAAGTGCAGGGAATTAAGTGAAGGAGTTATTTCTTGAGATGTGGGCAGGTAATGGAAACCAATGAGGGACAGAAGAGTGCCCTTGGACTCTTACCAGCAGGGAGCTGTTCCTCCCCACCAAAGGGCCAAGGGTGAAAGAGCCCTTATAAGAGTCAAGTAGGCATTTTAGTAAAGGAAGCTGGTGAGGCAGCCTGCATGGTCAGCCTCCTGGGCACAGAGTAGACCATAGAAGGACAGAGAACCCATCTGAAGGGGCAAACAGAAAAGAACCAGCACAGAGTCTAGCATTAGATTATTCAGTCTGTTATCATGTTCAGTTAATTAGTACACAAAACCTAGAAAGTGTGAAAGAAAAGTTAGGGATCATGCTAGCATTTTAGTTTTAATCCTTGCACTAAAAAGTTTCCAACCATCAGTGAGGATCTGGAAGAGGGGAAAGAATGACCTATTTCTGTTTCCTAATCACACCCAAAAGTTAGTGCTCATTGGTCTTCTGAATGCTCAGTGATGTGAGCAAGAGCTTCCAGGTGAGACCTGATATAAGACCCTCTTTGGGAGAGTCTTTTGCCCTCCCAAAGTGCTGCTATTTATTGGACAAATATTGAGTCCAATGCAGTGTCCACTTGCAATATTTTGCATGTAAAAGAATTTTCTAGGCCACGCGTGGCAGCTTGCACCTATAATCCCAGCACTTTGGGAGGCCAAGGTGGGTGGACCATCTGAGGTCAGGAATTCAAGACCAGCCTGACCAACATAGCAAAAACCCCATCTCTACTAAAAAACAAACAAACAAACAAAATTAGCTGGTTGTGGTGGCACGTGCCTATAATCCCAGCTATTCGGGAGGTTAAGGCAGGAGAATCACTTGAACCTGGGAGGCAGAAGATGCAGTGAGCCAAGATCAAGCCACTGCACTCCAGCCTGGGTGACAGAGTAATACTCTGTATCAAAAAAAAAAAAAAAGAATTTTCTTATTAAGCTTGTTTAGTCATCATGAATCCATGCCCCTCATTTTGGTCCTGAACTTTTGACAAAGCCTTCCCCAAAATTTCTATTCTTCTGGCATTCCTCCCTTCAAATCATGTCTCCCACAGAACCATCAGATTATTCTATCTAGAAAAATAAATCCCTGCTTAAAACCCTGCCCTGGCTCCCATTATCTGTAGTGTCAGGTCCAGACCCCAAGAATGGACTCCCAGGTACCTCTGCAGCCTCACTTCTTCTCTACTCTCTGCCTTGCCCTTTAAATAACTACCATGTTGGCACTTTTATTTATGTGTGTATTAATTTTTTTATTATCATTTTTATAGAGACAGAGTCTCCCTATGTTTCACAGATTGGTGCTAAACTCCTAAGCTCAAGCAATTCTCCCATGTCAGGCTCCCAAAGTGCTGGGATTACAGGTGTGAGCCACTGTGCCTGGCCATGTCAGAACTGTTTCTCATGTCTTTCCAGGACCATGAGACCCTCTTTGGCCCCCAATGTTGGCCTGCCTGTCTCCCAGGGGTTATTTTGAAAAGCAGCTCAGGAGTAGCATCTCCAGGCTGCCATGCTGAGATGCTCTCCAGCCCTGACTGTTCTTCAACACAGAATTCTCTGCATCACATTGAAATGCCTCATCTCCCACCTTCACTGGGAACACTGTAAAGCAAGAACTATGTCCTATTCATTGAATAATCAATAATCCTCCTCAATACGGTGTATGATAAGAGTTGGCATTCAAAAATACATGATGAACTAAACTAAATGATGACTTCCCAAAAAGAAGTGTTCCCTTAGAGCAAAGTTCCTTAGGACATTAGACCTTTTTTTTTTTTTTTTTACTCTGTAGGTATACAACCTATACAGGTATTTTATTACTGTCACTAGGTTTCCCTATATATTTTTGTTTTATTTTGTTTTGAGATGGAGTCTTACTGTGTTGCCCAGGCTGGAGTGCAGTGGTACAATCTCCGCTCACTGCAATCTCCACCTCCCGGGTTCAAGCGATTCTCCTGCCTCAGCCTCCTGAGTAGCTGGGATTACAGGCGTGTGCCACCATGCCCGGCTAATTTTTGTATTTTTAGTAGAGATGGGGTTTCATCATGTTGGTCAGGCTGGTCCTCAACTCCTGACCTTGGGCAATCTGCCCACTTCAGCCTCCCAAAGCACTGAGATTACAGGCATGAGCCACCGCGCCCAGCCTGGTTTCTCTATATGTTCTATGTATACCCCAGCTCCTTAAGAATTGGTTTAAATGAAAATCCAAAACGTTTTGAAAGCGGATTGATTAAATGATATTTGGTAGAATGAATGAAAGGAATTGAACTGCTGGCTGGGCATGGTGGCTCACATCTGAAATCCCAACATTTTGTGAAGCTGAGGCAAATAGATCACCTGAGGTCAGGAGTTTGAGACCAGCCTGGACAACGTGGTGAAACCCCCATCTCCACTAAAAATATAAAAATTAGCCAGGCATGGTGGCCTGTACCTGTAATCCCAGTTACTCAGGAGGCTGAAGCTGGAGAATCATTTGAACCCAGGAGGTGGAAGTTGCAGTGAGTGGAGATTGTGCCACTGCATTCCAGCCTGGGCGACAGAATGAGACTCCATCTCAAAAAAACAAAGAAAGAAAAGAAAAGAAGAAAGGAGTTGAACAGAAAAAATAAGCCTAGAGCTTCTGATTTATGGAGGCTTTAAAACACCCTGCAGTAGAAGAGGTAGAGTTACACAGTTACCTGAAGACAACAGCAGAGATCGTCTGGAAATACCGGCATTGGTAGGCTGACCTCCATGTCCCTATGGGCCTTATCTTTCTGTAATTCTAAAATGGCTTTCGAATACAGGATACTCCATCAACTTGGAGACATAATCATGCAGTGTCATTTCACAGTTGTGCAGCTATAAGACTTCCTTGTATGGTCTGGGAATGTGTTTCTAAGAAATGGGAGTGCTAAATGAAATGAGTCAAAAATACCTCAGTTCTCATGAACTATATCCTCTGACAGCATTATTTATCACCTAAAATCAATATCCTGTAGACGTCTTTATCTTCTTGGTGTTCTCTAGCACTCCTGTCTGGGTGGGCTGAACCATATCTAGAATGCAACCTCATCCATTCAACTGGAACTCACCCACCTGGAGTTACTGGAAAACTTGCATTTCACATTTGGCATGTTACCTCAACCATCAAAATAATCTGGAGTTGGTTTATCCTTTGGAAAACTCTTTGCTGCAAGTCAAAAAATCATTAGTCAGAAAAAGGATGTTAATGACAGAGAAACCAGAGCAGCATAAACAAAGCTGAGATATTGGCTGCCAACCACTCAACCTGTGGAAGGGCAGATGGAGGGGACGCTCCTTGGCCCTCAGACTTCATACCAGTTTACCAACGCCGAACTATTGACACCATCTGAGGGGGCCTAAACAAGGAAAGCTCTTGTGGTTAAAAGGGGCAAGGAGATGCTTCACAAATTCTAACTCCTCTTGAAGAGTGTTCAGGGCTGTGAATGATCAAAATTATCCAATAAAGCCTTCGCCTCACCACTGCAAAGCAAATATTTTCTTTTCTTTTTTTCCCTCAGAATGTAAAGTTAAAACTTACCTAATTCAATGGTTTTATTTATTTGTTTACTTATTTATTTTGAGACAGTGTCCCACTCTGTTGCCCAGGCTGGAGTGCAGTGACATGATCTCAGCTCACTGCAACCTCTGCCTCCAGGTTTCAAGCAATTCTTATACCTCAGCCCCACAAGTAGCTGGGATTACAGATGTTTACCACCATCCCTGGCTAATATTTGTATTTTTAGTAGAGTCAGGGCTTCGCCATGTTTACCTGGCTGGTTTGAAACTCTTGACCTCAGGTGATCCACCTGCCTTAGCCTCCCAGAATGCTGGGATTATAGGCATGATCCGCTGTGCCTGGCCTCGATGGTTCAGTTTATATGGGCAACAAGCAACTGGAAACCCTGACATTATAAGTTTTGAGGAACTTCTAAACCATTCTCTATAGTGATTGTACTAATTAACATTCCCACCAACAGTGTATGAGGGTCTTACTTTTAATGTGTCTTTTTCGATGCAGCTTCATCGTGTGGTCTAATTCTGAAAAAAACACTTATAAAACCACCTATCCCCACTTAGGTCTCCAGTTGAAGAAGCTTTAACAGGGACTGCAGCTTCGTCTGTATAGTTGCTTCTCTGCTAACAATTATAGCTGGGATACAGCGCCGTTCTCCAGAAATGAGTGCTAGAGCCAGGGGGCAGGGGAGGAGTCAGTCTATCTGAGTGCAAGTTCTGAATGTAAAACGGTGTCTGTTTTGTACTCATTTTGGCAGCACATATACTTTAAAAAAAAATTGGAATGATACAGAGAAGATTAGCATGGTCCTTGTACAAATATGATGTGCAAATTTGTAACTCAAGAATCCCTCCCCAAAAAAAAGTTGGAGTGTTGACACAAGTGTGAAGACCATGATAAACAGGTATAGAGATTACCATTTCCTCCACCAATGGCAATTTTTTTTTTAGACTGAGTCTTGCTCTGTTGCCAGGCTGGAAGGCAGTAGCAGGATCTTGGCTCACTAAAACCTCCGCCTCCCGGGTTCAAGTGATTCTCCTGCCTTAGCCTCCTGAGTACCTGGGACTATAGGTGCATGCCACCATGCCCAGCTAATTTTTGTATTTTTAGTAGAGACAGGATTTTTTTTTTTTGAGACACAGTCTTTCTCTGTTGCCAGACACCAGGCTAGAGTACAGTGGCACAATGTCAGCTCACTGCAATCTCTGCCTCCTGGGTTCAAGCAATTCTCCTGCCTCAGCCTCCCTAGTAGCTGGGACTATAGGCGAATGCCATCACACCCAGCTAATTTTTGTATGGGTTTTACCATGTTGGCCAGGATAAGTCTTGATCTCTTGACATCATAACCCACCAACCTTGGCCTCCCAAAGTGCTGGGATTACAGGTGTGAGCCACTGCTCCTGGCCCACCAATGGCAATTTACCCAAATGTGTTGAAAACTTATGCCCACAGAAAAATTTGTACCTCTGGGTGCGGTGGCTCACACCTGTAATCCCAGCACTTTGGGAGACCGAGACAGGCAGGTCATTTGAGGTCTGGACTTCGAGACCAGCCTGGCCAACATGGTGAAACCCCATCTCTACTAAAAATAAAAAATAAAAAAAATTAGCTGGGCTTGCTAGTGGGTGCCTGTAATCCCAGCTACTGGGGAGACTGAGGCATGAGAATTGCTTGAACTTGGGAGGCAGAGGTTGCAGTGAGCCAAACTCCAGCCTGGGCAATAAAGTGAGACTCAGTCTCAAATCAATCAATCAGTCAATCAATCTGCATATGAATGTTGATAGCAGCTTTATTCATAATTGCCAGAACTTGGAACAATGAAGATGCCCTTCAGTAGGTGAATAGATAATAAGCCATAGTACATTCAGACAATGGAATATCATCTAGGAATAAAAAGAAATGAGCTATTAAGCCATGAAAAGACGCACAGGAAACTTAAATGCATTTTACTGAGTGAAAGAAACCAATTTGAACAGGCTACATGCTCTGTAATTCCAGCTATATGACATTCTGGAAAAGGCAAAACTGTGGAGACAATAAAAAGATCAGTGGTTGGCAAAGGTTAAGGGGAGGAGGGGATGCATAGGTGGACAACACAGGATTTTTAGGGCAGTGAAGCTACTCTGTATGATACTGCAGTGGTAGATGCATGTCATTATACAATTTGTCTAAACCCATAGAATATATGACACCAAGAGTGAAACCTCAGGTAAACTACGGACCTCGGGTACCAATGTGCGTTCATCAGTTTTAACAAATGTACCACTCTGGTGGGGGAGGTTGATAGTGAGAGAGTCTGTATGTGTGTGGAACAGGAGATATATGGGAACTCCCTATACTTTCTGCTCAGTTTTGCTATAAACCTAAAACTTCTCTAAAAAATAAATTCATTTTTAAAAGTCTAGCATATTTTTAAAAAGATATAAAAGAAGCAGAGTGAAAGTGGATGTTTTAAATATTTAAGTATCAGTGTTCAGCCGCTGAGAGGTTTAGAGTAGTCAAAAAGGGTTGTTTTATTTTTTAAATTCTTGTGGGTGCATAGTAGGTATATATATTTTTGTGGGTACATAATAGGTGTTTACATTTATAGGTTACATGAGATACTTTGATACAGGCATGCAATGCATAATAATCACGTCATGGAAAATGGGTATCCATCCCCTCAAGCTTTTATCCTTTGTGTTATAAACAATCCAGTTAGACTCTTTTAGTTATTTTTAAATGTACATTAAATTGTTACTGACTATAGTCACCCTGTTGTGCCATCAAGTACTAGGTCTTATTCATTCTTTCTAATTATGTTTTGTACCCATTAACCATCCCACTTACCCTCCGCTACCCTTCCCAGCCTCTGGTAACCATCCTCCTACTCTCTATCTCCATGAGTTCAATTGTTTTGATCCTTAGCTCCCACAAATAAGAGAGATCATAGGAAGTTTGTCTTTCTTTGCCTGCCGTATTTCACTTAACATAATGATCCCCAGTTCCATTCATGTTGTTGCAAATGGTAGGATCTCATTCTTTCCTAACGGTTGAACAGTGCTCCATTGAGTATATATGCCACGTTTTCTTTATCCTTTCATCTGTTGATGGACACTTAGTTTGCCTCCAAATCTTGGCTATTGTGAACGGTGCTGCAACAAACATGGGAGTGCAGATATCTCTTTGACATACTGATTTCTTTTTTTTTTTAATTATGTTTTAAGTTCTGGGGTACATGTGCAGATCATGCAGGATTGTTATACTGATTTCCTTTCTTTTTGGTACATACCCAGCAGTGGGACTGCTGGACCAGATGGTAGCTCTGTTTTTAGTTTTTTGAGGAACTTCTAAACCATTCTCTATAGTGATTATACTAGTTAACATTCCCACCAACAGTGTATGAGGGTCTTGTTTTTAATGTGTCTTTTCTGATGCAGCTTCATCTTCACCAGATTGCCTTCCTCAGTATGGAAAACCCACACCTGCCTTCTTTGGTGTTATATCAGAACTTGTCCATGGGGCAGCATGATTCCTCCTTGGTCTGTCCTGTGGCTTCAGAAGGCCCTGCTATGTGGGGAGGAAGGAAGACAGGGATTTTCTCCAGCACACCTTGCCCATGCATTCACAGATTTGAGGTCTGGTCCCAATAGCCCATGTGAGTTTCTGACAGAGGAAGCTGCTAAAGTTAAGGACTAACTTCCACCTCTAGTGGACAATCACTTGAGATGCACCAAGGGTTAGGCCACCATTGCTCTGCCAAGATCAGAGCACTCACTGAGGCCAAGCTCAACTCTGGGATGAGATATCTGGCTGCGAGTGGCCTGGACAAATGGAAACAGAGGCAATGTGACTTCCCCTTTCCCTATTTGCCCAGTTTGATAATGACACACAGAAAGGAGACACATCGTATATGCAAGTTTAACAGCGCAAGTAAAACTTAATAATTTTGCAATAAGAAGTGACCGATCTATTCGAATTTAAGAAGTTTAAAGTACAGACTTGAAGCCTACTGCCCATACACAGTCATTATTAAATTATACATTTTTCAAACATTGCAATCCTACCTCCAAAGCCACAGATTCTTCTCTCCTTAGTCCCTCAGGCCTGAAAGTCTTTGTCCGTGTTTCTTCATTCTGCAGCCTCATAGTCCCGCCCCTGGTACTGAATACGCACACACAAGCATATGGTGGGCAAGAGAGACCTCTGCTGGATGAATGACGGCAAACAAGCACTGCTCTGCACTAACAGAAAAACAGAATACACATTTTTTATAGTGGTGCTTCTGGAAGGGAAGAAAATTGTTTTTGTTTCAAAATCACTTTTTAAACTCTATGAGATTAAAAACCAACCCCATAAAATATGTTTTTTTTAGGTTCCTAGAAACACCGTTTGCAGACTGTGCCATTTCTGCAGCACTTTGATACTTATGTTGAGCAATTTTGTAAGAGCTCCATATGTTCCGCACACAGGTTCTGAGAGCAGCTTTATAGCCTAACAGCCAAACTGTTTCTTTTCTATCTAATTGCCTGCCAGTGTTCCATGTTATCTGTGCACAGGCAGGGATATGTGAGACATGATTCTCATAGACCCGAAATCATAGTATGGACTTCAAGACTGAGTTTTCAGAACTCTTGGGAGAGGACATGTGTTTGAGATAGGTCAACAGGGGTCAAAAACATTCAGAGAAAACTTGACACACCTTGCCAAACTTTTTCCCTCAGCTGCATATTTTCAGAATCTTTAGGTCCTTAATTGGGGCGGGGGGGGGGCGGGAAGTGTGTGAGTGCTTTTGAAAAAAGTTCCTTTGCACACAGCATCTACCCTGATGCATTAAAATATGCTCAACTTTGCAGTGTCCTCTGTACACACTGTGTTTCAGGGCACGGCAAAGGCAGAGCTTGGTGGTTCAACTCTCTACCTCTCATATAATGCCTAGCTATCCTGGTTTCTAATCTGACTCTGCCTAATTAGGCAATGTTGCGCAAGTTTTCCAAATTTCCTAAGCCTCAGTTTCCTCCTTTGTAAAAATTAAATTCCTTGTAGTGTCCACTGCACTGTTACTAGGAGGGTTCAATGAGATAACATATGGCTAGTGCTTAGCATAGTGGTTGCTGGTCTATAGTAAATGCTCAGTGAACACAGGTATAATTATTAAAGGGAGGTAAACATGTACACAAATGTTTCCTTCCTTGCTTCCTTCCTTCCTTCCTTCTTTTTTCAACAAATATTTATAGAGTTTCTACTATGTCCAAAAATGTGTGCAGGACACTGAGGAGTATAAGAAACTGAAAAACTTATGTTTCTATTCTCAGGACGCTTTCAGTCTCTCTGATGTTTTATCACTTGAATATAGATCAGTGATTCTAAAAGCTGTTTGCTAACATACCAGAATGGTCCTAGAAGAAAATTCTCCAAATCCTCAAGAAAATAAATAACAAGCTTTTAACTGAAAAATTAATTTATGCCTTTCAAATCTTAAAAGACAGAAAAAGTCATGATAAAAATCATGCTAGGCTAGGCATAGTGGCTCATGCTTGTAATCTCAGAACTTTGGGATGTCAAGGTGGGAGGATTGCTTGAGCCTAGGAGTTTGAGACCAGCCTGGGCAACATAGGGTGACTTCCATCTCTACAAAAAAAAAAAAAAAGTAGCCGGATGTGGTGGTGTGAGCCTCCAGTCCCAGCTACTCGGGAGGCTGAGACAGGAGAATCTCTTGAGCTCGGGAGGTAGAGGCTGTAGTGAGTGGTGATTGCACCACTGCGCTCCAGCCTGGGTGACAGACCCTGTTTAAAAAAACAAAAACAAAAACATACTAAAAGATTGGCAATCATAGATGTCAGTTTTTGAGAGGAAAGTTTTTGGTAGGCAAACCTTTAATTTGGGGCAAGAATAAAAGCAAGTTAATGTTAAGATTTCTCTGGCTGTTTGAATATTTCTTCCAACGGACATGGTCAGACATCTCCAGGGAATTCCAAACCTCTTTTGTAGGGAGAATCTGGTCCTTTTGGTGTAGACTGTCACCCCCGAACCATCATCGGGGCAACACGGCATCCTCCTTCATTCCTCCTTCACCAGCTCTGTACTGCTGCCTGCCAGGTGCCAGGAAGGGTGCTGATGCAGGTCCGCGAACCAAGATGACATCCCCTGCCTGGGAGAGCTGCTTGGCTCCATCCTCACTCCAGTCCCACAGTCTCTCAAATGGACCCTTCAAGATTATGGCAGCCCTTCTTGCTGCACTGATCAGGATTAGGGCTGGAGTTGTGAACCCAGAACAGCAAATTCAATTCCTCTCAAACCAGTTTAACCTAGTGGTTTGACCAAACCAGTTTCTCAACGTTGACCTTTAACCTCTTGGCAGGATTGAGGGAGTTTCTTTCTCTTCAGTAGGCAGGCTGTGGACCTCACTTAAACCAAGCAGCAAAGAGGTTAATTGACCGGGTTTGTGGTGTTATTTATATGCCATGTAAACACCCAGCTGGTCCTGGCCTTTGCGTTTGGCCATATCTCAGCAGGGATCACGGGATGAATTTGACACTTGTGAGACTCCCCAGAGAGGTCTTGAGATTGGGAACATGTTCTTTTGAAGTATGTCTTCTGCTTCAATCTATTCTTTAGGCCAAATCCTAATAATCACACCTGTCTTCCTCACAGGGGTCCAAATGTGGATGAGGCAGTTTTTCCTTTTTCTGTCCAAAGAAGAGATTATTATCTTAAAAAAAAGACAGTCTTATAAGAGGCAGGTTCAAATACAGATTAAAATAATAATAATACTTAGCATTTCCACCCCACCTTTCATCTACAGAGCTCAAAGTACTTGGCAAACATTAATTAATTCTCAAAACAGCCTTATGAGGTGAGTAGGGGTATTATCTTTATAATAATATATAAATACTGGCTGGTTCATGAAAGCAGCCACTTAAAAGGGACAATGCTGCAGGATTAGTTTCAAAAACAGTCTTCTCACCTGGTCTAGACTTAATAATTTTGGGTAACACATTTGGGAGTGCCAAATTTCCTAATAATATGATATCCTAGAGTGAACATATATACCCTTTCAAAGTGATGTCTCTAGTGGTTTAAGGCAGTCTTATTTATTTGAAAGGACTTTTTAATGTTAAAAAATTCTAATTGTGGGTTGTTCACTCTAAATGATGTCAGTCTACACATGAAAGGATTCTAAACTGTCCTAATGCATAAAGTTTAGTGGCGAGAGTCTGGGATTCTATTTCAAATGCATTTGCACTTTGAAGGGGTTGTGACAATTTCAAGGTTTTATGTTTTTACTCCTTGATTTAAATTTTTAGCATATCGCAAAGCACAGTTCCATTGCTTGTCAAAATGGGTACCAGCTAGAATTTCTGCCTCACCACTAGAGATGAAAAATACCAAGACCGAGTAAAAGCTGACCAGGAATGCATTAAATTGGCTCCCAAATGAATCATACAAAAAGATGGTGTATTTCTATTTGGTATCCTTTTCTTCCTTTGTCTCCTCTCATGACCTCCCTTCGCAGGTAGAATAGCATTCCATTTTCCAGTTGCTAACCTGCATTCCCCAGAGGTGACTTCTGAGCACAGCACCGTCAGTGAAGCCCACCGCATGCGGGCTATGTTCTGCTATAGCTTTGGTGCCATCTGTTCTTGTTCTTCCTGAAGACAATGCTTGTCTATGCAAAATTGTACTGGCTTTTTGATACTGAAAAATTAATTCTTTGGGTTAGTAGAAATTATATTTTTTCTATCCTTAAAGTTGCTCTGCATCAAGAACTACCTTGCACCCAGGAAGACCTCAGTAAACATTAATTCAGGATTGTCTTTGTTTTGTTGAAATATAAAAATATCCCCAGACTCTGGCTGAAACCATTGTTTATTGTCTTGGCTAGATAAATCCTCTATTTTAAAACTGTATTTGTTGCTCTGAATTTTTTACTTATTGATCCTAGTATGTGAATTGGTTCACTTGATCATGAAAGAAACCATATCTACCACTTAACAGTGCAGTATTGATCCTCCAAATCTATCCACTTGCCTCTGTCAATGGTTCCACTTAGCAGCATCAGGAGAGAAAACCTGGCTTTGGTCTCATAGCTTTGGTTGAGCTGATGGTCTCCAATCTCCAAAGTTGGATAAACCAGATTCCTTCACTGTGTTTATCTTGGCCCGCCATGTCTCTTTTGGAGAAAATGGTCCGAATAAAGTGCTTCCTTTGTGTATTTTAACAGGAAACACTACTAATATGCTTTCCTTTTGTTGTGTGCCTTGCTCCTTTCTCCCAGTGTTGTTTAAATATTTTGAGTACAATGACATATTTATTAATCCACTACTCTCTGCATGGAGCATGAAATGATTGGTTCTTCTGTAAAGCCCTCTTAGGAAAGGTGGTTTCTCCAGTGAGAGTTAATAATATTACCACTATTCATGTAAAAAAAAAATGCTGAGACAATCTCTTAAAAATGGAACACATTTATCTAAAACAGCTGGTAAAGAAAGCACGCAGGCCCAGCCAGAGGCGGTGAGGTCAGAGGTCAGGGTTAACACCGATCTCGGTGGAACTTTGAAGCTGACATTTTATAGATTATATGTGTCTCAGTGCACAGTGGGCATGGCATATAAATTGGACTTAGAGGCCCCTATTTGTTCTCTGCATTTTTATGAGCCCACAGAGCTCTTCTTTGAAGCAGCATACATAGAAAATAAAAACTCATTTTAATGTTGTAGAACTATTTACAATAAATCACATTTACATCCTGCCTTTTCCCAAGTATAAGATATCTCTCTCTCTCTCCCCCCCTCTCTCTCTCTCTCTCTCTCTCTCTCTCTCTCTCTCCCCCGTCTCTCTTTCTCTCTCTCACACACACACACACCCACACACACATTCACGGAGTCTATTTCCCAAGCTGGGCAGCTTATTTTTCTCCTTATGGTATTGTAAACCTAGCTTCACTTCTCTCCTTGTCTTGACTTAGGAATCAGATCATAGATGCTGCTACATTTAGTGCCACAAGGACACCTTTCGTAAGTCATGTGAGGTGATTCAGCTAGAAAAAGCATGCTTCTCTCCCAGAAAAATCCCCTGATACCATAAAATGCTTGCTATAGCATGGCACTTCAGCACCAGAAGACAGCATCTGATTTCAAAGAGATTGAGTTCCACTCTGGAAGTAATTATATCATTCATTTTATGGATTTTTTTTTTTTTTTTAGTTGCTAGGTGTTTTAACTGGAGGAGGCTGGCAACCGAGAGAGAAATGTACTGGCAGAGATTCTGCCATGGGCACTTTAGCCACCTAATTAATTTTCAATAAAAACTCACAATAGTTAATTTGCTGTAGACCCCAATGTAAATCAAACTGAGACAAATAGGTTAAAATTAGAAATGTGTGATGGAAACCATGTTTATGGTCAAAATTACCTTTCACCCTGGAAATAACACAGATTGACAGGGAAAGAAAATGAGACCACACAGGCTTTTGTTCAAAGAGACTCTTAAGTGAATTATATATTTTATTAAGGGGAAACCTGGACCAAAAAACAAAGTATCCAGGATCTATGAAATAATGTGATTTTAATAAAAAGTATAGTTTTAAAAAAGAGTGACCTTAAAAATCACAAAATTAAGACATTACGTTCATTATACAAAGTTGTCTGGTACCCACTTTTATGTCTTTCCCAGACTTAACATGATATAGGGCGTAATAGTAAAAATACTATGAAGTTAATAAGTTCCTGGGCCTAAATTGGCAGACATACCCACCCAGCACCACATTCCTTCAGCTCCTATGTTTCAAAACACTACTTTCCAACATCAAATACCTATTTTTACTTTTATGAGAACACTGACATAGATTTTTTTATGATTTTATAATTATACTTCAATCCTCCAATTAAAATGCCCAGACAATATAGATATCTTTGGCCCAGTCTATTGGACAAATATTGTTATTAAAGTTCCCTCCAGGACTTTATATTTGCAAAATATTTTGTGGGCTTTAATCATTTTAAATTGCCTTAACACTGCCCATTTTCTCCATGCCTCTCTGGTATTGCTCAGGCAACCATTTCGTTTTAACCCACAAACTACTCATGTGATGCAAGGTGAAAGAAGCTAATTTTTTAATATATTGGAATGTTAGTCTCAGTGATTGTTAGCTCTTTCTTCAACCTTTGCTGAACATGGCAATTTAAACCACCCCTGGATTCTATTTTTATTTTACATTTGCCAAGTTCATGAAGTAAATTCCCTCTTTCCCACTCAATCTGTTTTTTCTTCCTGCCCCAAAGGAACGATGTTGTCACTGTGATGTCTCCTAATGCACTATAAATGCCGTGATGAATTGGAGGCAGGCTGGTTTTTTCTGAGTGGGAGTCCATTATCCTGTCAGAGTGTTCCTTTCCTGTAACTTAATTTTTATTGTAACAAATGACTAAGTACCAAAAAATGAAACAATGTGATGGGCTGATCTAAAGTGGCCTTCCTCTGATGGTAAGTGGAGCGGAGTGACAATTGTTTGCAGCTGCTTTCCAGAGGGCTCTCTGATGACACTCACTACCCAAATTGGAGTTATCCAAAGCATTTTCTGGGTGTTTATGGAAGATCTTCATTCACATTGACTGACTAACAATACTAATATAAACAAAGTGCTTTGCAAAAGAGGTCATGTTAAGCATAAGAGGGGAAGAGACAGATTCTCAAACCTGACCGCACATAAGAATCACCTGGAGATCTTGTTGAACTAAAATTCAGGTGCTCAGCTCCCATCAAAGGAGATGTCCGTTTAGTCTGCTGAGGTGGGACCTAGGAATAAGTATTTTAAACAAGCATCTCTGCTAAATCTGTTGAAGCAGTCATACAGATTATGCTGTGAGAAACACTAGCCTAGAGCTCTGGTCAATTAATCTTTTCAATAAATCTCCACTTGACCTTTTATTTTATAACATGGCATTTTTTTCCCTGCATGGATTTCTATCTCGTGTGGTTCACTCAAATCCTAGTTCCAATTTGAATATGATCTGTTCACAATTGTTCCATTTTCTCCTCATTTGTTTTGCTGGTTAATAACCAATATGTCTGAAAGATGAAAATCATCTCTGTTACAGATGATGTGAGAATATTAATCTGGAATCCATCAATCCCCAGAAATCCAATAAATTTGGTATGTAAGTCACCAAGCCTTTATCTGGACTTGAGGGTTCACAGATTTCACCATATCCCCAAATGGGTCTGTGACCCAGAAAAATTAAGGACCAGTATCCTGGAAGTGAATGAATTTGGCCTCATTAATACGAAACTTCCATGT